CCTGGGGAATTCCAGGTTCTGTTTTCAGATAATGATTAACACCACTAAGAAGTGAAATCAAAGCAGTTTTCCTTTTGAAAACTGGAAAATCCCCTACTCCAAAATATTTTTGCATATGTATAAAAATTATACTTTAAAGCCAAAATCTCTTATAACTTGAATGTAAATCACTGAAACTACTTTAAAAAAGAAAAACAAAAACACCCTATGATGCACTCCTATGGGGCAACACACTCCTAACAGTAGCTAACATTCATTAAGCATGTCCCAAGAGGCGACAGAAAGGAACGCTGGTGGTGTAGAGGTTAAAGCACTCGGCTGCTAACCAAAAGTTTGGTGCTTCAAACCCACCAGCTGCTCCATGGAAGAAAGATGAGGCAGTCTGCTTCTGTAAAGAGTTACAGCCTTGGAAGGCCAATGGGGGTCACTATGAGGCGGAGTTGACTCGATGGCAGTGAGTTTGGTTTGGTTTTGGAAGCGTTGGTAAGCACAGTTCTAAGCTTTTCACATGGAATGGATTTTTCGTACATCAACTTTATGAAATGGATACTTTTATTATTCCTAAATGCAGATTAGGAAAATGAGGCACAGAAAGATCAGGAAGCTTTGCCCAATGCACAGAGCTATATATGGCAGGGCTGGAACTTAAAACCAAGCAGCCACACTCCTCTCTCCCCCACAATACAGCTTCAGACCAGACCAAACCAAACTCACTGCCATCAAGTTGATTCAGACTCATTGGGTTTCCAAGGCTGTAAATCTTTACAGAAGCAGACCACCCCATCGTCTTTCTTCCAGGGGCTGCTGGTGGGTTGGAACCACTGACCTTGTGGTTAGTAGCCAAATGCCTTTACCAGAGCTCCTTCAGCTATAGACAGAATTATAGATAAACAAGCTAAAAGGGAATAAAGTAAGCAAGGGCAGGTTAAGGAGGGTGGCTTAAGGATGGATGGTAAAAGAAGGGGCAGAATCTAATTTACATCGAAAAGATAGATCTTACTTTTATTTCAAGACTTTTCTAAACTACGAATTTAAAAACATCCTGACTCAACATTAATCCACAGGCAGGTTTTTTTCTCTTGCCTACACTCCACGGCTGTGAGTTTGGTTTTTTTGGTTTTAAAGTGGCAATTAGACTTTTCTTTCCGGATCCAAAGTGCAGACCATAACAAAACCATTACAGTGATTGAAAGAGAAAGATTTGCACTTTTTACATTTCAATTCATAGAAATCTCAGGAGGGCAGGTGGGTGGAGGGATGGATCTCCAATGAAGTTACTTTTTTTTTTTTTTTTTTACATTACTTTTTTAATGTTAACTCAGTAGCCATTAAGCACTTCATGTACTTCTTTGCCATGGAAACTTGTATTCTTTAAGCAAAAGTTATTTAAGTCTCTGAATTCTCCACTCTCTGGAAGTGGTTTCCTTTTGCATGAAGGAATGTTTCCCCAATTTTCAAATTGTTTATTAAATCATACAGCAATCATAGTTATTCTTTCAAACAAATCCATGATTGTGTTTTTTAACAGTCGAAAAATAAGTACAAAATAACAGGCACAGTGCTGGTATTTCACACATACTTTTGCCACGTGATCAGAACACTATCCCTTGGGGGCATTACTCTCCCATTTGACAGGTAACTGATAGTCTGAGGTCTGGAGTGATTAAAAAACCTGTTCCAGGGCACTAGGTAAGTGGTACTCTCAACTCCTAGCCTGATTGCAAAGACTGAATTGTTTGCCCAGCCCATTTTGTCCTGGAGCCATAGTTCCAAATTGGAGTGCTAGCACTAAGAATGGCACCATGTGCTTTTAGAAGCCAATCCAGTATAAATAACCTAAATGTTCATCAAGAGATGAACTGGTACCATTGCTGCCCTTGAAAAAAGGTCAGAGCCACAGGCAAGGACTGCAGAGCTCCCACAGGAGGGAGGAGGATTCCCAGCCAACAAAGAAGTGGGGACCTGTTTTACAGCCGCAAAGAACTTAACTCTGCTAAAAACAGAAATGATTTTGGAAGAGGATCTCATGCTCCAAATGAGAATGCAGCCAGCCAACAACTAGATGTCAGCCTTGTAAGATCCTGAACAGAGGACTCAGCCAAACTACCATGGACTTCTGACCTACAGAAACTATGACTTCCACTAACATGGATGGAGGATTGTAGCCCATCTCAGTGGGACACCCAGGGCTCCAGTGGCTGGAGCTCTAGCTGGAATTCAAATAGCTGATTTCCAGTTTTTCTCAGGAGTTGTGGCAAGATGACCAGACTACTGTCTTAATTACCTGAAGACTGGAAGGTGTGTAACAATTCAAGATGACTGAAGAAATTTCACGTGGACTATCAGTTAAATATAACTGGATAAAAATTTAAAGTTACATGGAGCCTACAATTTTGATATCCTTATCTGCTCTTTGGTGCCATAGTACCTAAGGCATTTGACTCCTAACCAGAAGGCTGGTGGTTTAAACCCACCAGCCACTCCTCGAAAGGAAGACTGGGAAATCTACTTCTGTGGAGATACCACCTCAGAAACCCAAGGAGAGGTTATTGTAAGTCAGAACTGACTTGAAGGCAGTGAGTTAGGTTTTTTATTTTTTGGTATCTGCTCTTTGATGTATGTTATTGCTTATGTTTCGAACCATAAGCCTACTATCATTTGTTAGCAAAATGTCAACAATTTTCTGAAAAATGAAAATTTGAAAAAAAAATCACATGAGTGGGTAAACACAATGTGGTATACACATACAAAGGACTATTATTCAGCCATAAGAAGGAATGAAGAACTGATACATGCTACAATGTGGATGAACCTTGAAAACATGCCATGTGAAAGAAGTCAGACACAAATATTGTATGATCTTATTTACATGAAATATCTAGGATAGGCAAATGTATAGAAACAGAAAGTAGACAGAGGTTGGGGGGTGTGAGAGTAGGAAGAATGGGATGATGAAAAAGTACTGGAAACAAATAGTGGTGATGGTTGTACAACACTGTGAATATACTTAATGATACTGAATTGCATGCTTAAAAATAGTCAAAATGGCACATTTTATGTTGTATATATTTTACCACAATGAAAAAACAACAACAAAAACCCACAAAATGTCAATCTAGCTGATGTCAATTGGACATCAGTGGTCTTGGGGCCAGCAGACTGAGTGGGGGCATCACATTTCCACACCCTAGCCCACCTGCCTGTCCACAGAACAAGTATAAGTACTTAATTAATGTGCCAGTCTGGGAGTCAGGAGGCTCAGGTTCCAGTACCACTTTTGACACTAATTAACTATGTGGCTTGGAGTAAGTCCTCTAACCTTGCTACACCTTTATTTTCCTTAAGTACAAATTGGAAATAAGAATGCCTGGCTGCGTATCTCACAAGGTTGATGTAAAAGGTGTTAATCATGACAAAGTTTAACTAGCTTTGAAAACTATGTCCTTGACAGCTTATCATTGCCAGAATGAATACAACCAGGCCACCATAGCAGCTAATGTGGTCCAGCAGGTCCACACATACCAGCCAGCAGGAATGGCACTGTGTGAATGTCACCCAATCCCCTAAGAAAGCTGGACTCTGGGACTCCAAGGAGGTCTGGCTTGGCCTGAGGTCCCACAGTTCTTCCAAGGCAGCCTGGTATCCACAAGGTGATGCTAACAGAACGCCCTTTTCTCCTTCCAAGTGCATGTGCACTTTCAATATAATTGGCACTCAGCTGTGTGTGTGGGGGGGTGTCATCTGGTACAGGGCCCAGGACTGGATTTCAAACTCATAAGATACAGAATCAGGATCGACATTAGTGCATATAACACTCATTAGAAGGCAGAGGGCTCAGGAAAGACAGACCCCCATGGGGTCCAAACTGGATGAAACTTCTGAAGTTTGTTCTTTACAGCCAGGAGCCCACCTAAATTCTTCCCCATTAGTTCCTGTCCCAAGGAAAAAGAAGGTATCAGATCAGCATAACAGTGAATCACCTAGCACTTCAACACAATGGCCCCCTGCAGGAGAGGGTGGAGAAGCTTGTCGGGCAACTGCCTACACAAACAGGGTAATTCTGAAGAGCAGCAAACAAACCAGTTTAGCCCCAATACCCATTTTGCATAAGATTGCACTCCACAAAAAACAACATCCAAGGAGTAGTTGTTGATCGATACCAATAGTTAACAATTAGGTTTGGGCCAGGAAAGAATTCAAAAGCTCCTTTCAAGAATTCAAAAGGTCCTTTCAAAGGAGCTTTGGTGTAAGTATCCTTAGACTCGTTTGGGCCATGGAGATGCTTCAATCAACAAGTTTTGACAGGCTGTTTTTCCGTAAGGAAATTAAGTCGCATAAGGGTTTGAACCAACAAACCGAGGGGAACTTGTTAGTCATGCGGTGACTGTAAAGGTAATATGTTTTATGTTAATAAGGGGTTACACAAGCGCCAGACGGGAGGCGCAGGAGGGATGGTTAGATCACGGCAGGGCCATCTGCCAGCCAGCTCAGTGTGGACACTGACCACAGCTCCTAAATCCAAGCAAGTAGCAAAAACGAGCTGCAGTAGGATTAAACCAGGGCAAGTGTTATCTATCGCGTTAGCCCGGAAGTCTGGATTTTAAAAGCAACGTGCATCACACAAGTTGACCACGGGTCCACAGAAAGAGACATCTCAACGTGCTTAAGTACTGAATGAAGACAGTACGCAAATAAATTTCACCATCTCTTTCCCCTCACCGCCCCCAAACTACCTTCGACAGCCGTCAAATATAAGACAAAGTGTTCTTCTCTACAGCCAAATGAGTGATTTCACCCTCATCTTTCGCAAAAACCTATCTATCTATAAATATCCTCCCTTCGAATTCACAAACAGGAGAGCCTCATCTACAACCATCCGGGAGCTAAATATGAAAGAAAAAAGTGGCTGTGCCCCTTACAACCCTCTAGTGCTTCTGGCCAGCTTCCCCAGTACTAGCGGTGAGGACGCCGCATCTCGCTCGCGTCCCAGCTCGGGTTACCTCGCTCGCGCGTCCCCGGGGATTTGATACTTCAGCCGTCGGTTCCGCTGGTGCCTTCTCCTCCTCCCTGGTGGCCAGTGCGCCACTCCGAGCCTCACGAGGGTCCCCGCCGCCCCCTGGTGCCGCCTGGCTGCCGCCGTCCACGCTGGCACCGACTCCTCCCGCCGACGAGGCGGTGGCGGCAGCGCCGAGTAGCCCGTGCGCCCGGTCTGCATCCCCAGCCGCCACGCTATGTACCAGCCACGCATCCACCCGGGTGCGGGGAATAAAAGGGACCCCAAGTGCGCACAACTCCCTGAGCAGTCGGCCCTCGGACAGCTCCGCAGGGTCTGACTCTCTGCCCTTGGGGTGCAGCTGACCCGCGCGCCCCCATCCTCCCGAGGCCGCAAAGGGGCTGAGCGCATAGGCGGAGCTCGGTGGGCAGCCCAGGAGCAGCAGCTCATCCCGGAGCAGAGTGGGCGGCGAGAGCAGCAGGTAGACGTCCAGATCTACGTTAAGTCCCGCCAAGCTCAGCAGGATAGTGAGGTGCAGGAGGCCCCCGCTATCCGACCACCACGGCTTCAGATACTTCATCTCCCGCCGCACGCCCGGGGACGTCCCCTGCTCGGCGCCGGCGGGTCACGCCACTCCTGCCGCGGCTTTGGCACGTGCGGGCCCCGCGCGCCGCCAGCACCTGCCCGGAAGAGAAGGAGAAACGACACAATGGACCGGAGCGAGGAGCGGCGGTCGTAGGCTCCCCGAACCGGACACAAAGACGCTTCCTCCGCTGCCCACACGGAGCCTGGTGCGGCCGGGACTCAGGAGGGTAGAGGAGGAGCCACCTGCGAGCAGAGCCCGCCCGCCCGCAGCCCGGCGCCGCGGCTAAGCCCCGCCCCAGGCCGCGAGCTCAGCCGCAGGGAACACGCCCACGGCCTCCCCGGGCTCGCGCCCGTGGGCGGGGCCCGCACGGGGCGGGGCTCCCCGAACTCAATGGCTCTTTATGCTACGGAGAGGTGGGAAGGAGAAGGAGGCGTGGGAACGCAAAGCTTTCTGGGAGCTGGAGTTATTCTGGTCGTGAAGTGGCTGCTTGCAACCCATTGGTCTTGGAGGAGTGCGTGGAAAAGGATGAGGCTATGTAGACTCCAGCTAAAGTAACCAGGCAGCTGCAAAGCTCTGGGCAACTTGCGAAGGACTTTTACCCACGTAAGTAAGAGTGAGCTCAGGCGTCTGATCCACTGGAATTAGATCCCAACCCCAACACTTGCCAGTTGTATGACCTTGGATGAATTTCTTAATCTCTCTGTTCCTCAGTTTCTTTATCTCTAAAATGGCACTGTATAATAGAGATATAGTGAGGTCAGATGAAATATGTATGAAGCCCAGAGTCTGATATAGACTCCACAGCTGTCACTGGGACCAAACAGAGCAGCCACACATCCCACACCCTGTGCAGCCTTATAGATGCCTCTCTGTATCCTGGATATGCCCTGCATATTGTTAGGCCTTCCCTCACAGTTTTCTTTGCTTCTGAAATGAGGATTAAGAAACCAGAGGGTCCCTGGGTGGCAGTTCAGGGTCAGCTACTAACCTAAAGGTTGGTGGTTCAAATCCACCCAGGGATGCCTGGGATTACAGCCAAGAAAACCCTAGGGAGCAGTTTTACTCTGTAACACGTGTGGTTGCCAGGAGTTGGGATTGGTCGGACGGTAATGGGCCTGGTTATTTTTGTTTGTGTTTAAGAGTACTGGCTCTGGAGTTGCCCTGTGTGAGTTCAAATTCCCCTTTAACCATTTACTAGCCTGGACCTTGGACGAATTACTCATTCTCTCTCTCTGCTTCAGTTTCTTCACTGTGGAATGAGACTGACAATCGCAACACCCTGCAGTACAGTTGTGAGCCTCAAATGAGATAATGTTTATAAACCACTTGGTTACAGCACTTGGTGGGTAGTAAGTGCACTCTGAATGTTACCTATTATTTGGATTACTCATCCTCCAAGGCCTAACCTCAAAGCTACATCCTCTGAATATTCACCATTTGGAATTAATCTCTCTCTTCCATCTGTTCTCCCACATGCTTTCTCCGTATGCCAACACTGCAACACTTGGAGCATTCTACTTTGTGCTGTAGTTGAGATTGGTCCAATGCCCATTGTAAATTCTTGAGGGCAAGGTGTCTGTTTGGTTCACCTTTGTACTCTCCACAGTACCCAGCACTGGGCCTTGCAAATGTAGATGTTGCTAACCCTCACTGGAGATGCTGGGGGAATATAAGTGTGAGTGCATGTGTGTCTGGAAAAAAAAAAACCGAAAACTCACTGCCATTGAGTAATTTCTGAATCTCCCTATCTTCCTTCCATAGAACAGCTGGTAGGTTTGAACCACTGACTTTCTGGTTAGCAGTCAAGTGCCTTATCCACTACGCCACCAGAGCTGTATGATATTCACCATCAGGAGATTGGCAGTTATTTAAGAAACTGAGCAAGATTTGTTTTAAGAGTCCTTTTCTTCCATTTAGTTTTCTCTTCTCTCTCCCCTAAGGCTAATGTGATAAAGATTTCAATTTGCCTAGTGCAAGCAGGCTTCTTAAAGTTGCTTCTGCTTTAGGCCCTGGAGGATGACTTAGGAGGTGGTGAAGAGGCTGGAATTGCTGTGCTCTCCAAGTTAGCAAGGGTTGGACAGAAACTTTATCCACAGCACATAGGCCCTGCACAGTGGGTTCAGGTTCCAGACTCAGTAAATATTTGCTAATTTCAGGTTTCTACTGAGGACTGATGCTCTGCTGGAAGCTGTGAAGGATATCAAATGGAGTTCTTTTGCTAGGTAATCTTGTAGTTTCATTAGTGAGATTAGATATAGACCGGTGAAATATTTAGATTCAAGAGAAAGAATTTACGCAGACGCCAAAATATTGAGGAGAATGCTTGCTTCAGCAGCACATATACTAAAATTGGAACGATACAGAGAAGATTAGCATGGCCCCTGCGCAAAGATGACATGCAAATTTGTGAAGCGTTCCATATTTTTATCCCTCATAGACAAGCCAGACACCTTGGGAGAGAGAACCATCAGATCTGCTGACTCAAGACCATAGTACTGGGGACTCCAGGCTCAACTGGCACGACATAATACATAAACATCTTGTTCCACAGCCTACTTTGGTGAGTAGTGACTGGGGTCGTAAAGCTTTCAAGTGGCCATCTAAAATGCAGCTAATGGTCTCCTTTTGTCAGAACCGAAGAAGAGTGAAGAGAACCAAGGGCATTTGGAAACAATCAGCCCTAGGACATGATGGACCTCAAGACTAGAACTAGATGGTACCTGGCTACCAATGCCAACCACTCAAGAAGGGATCAAAACTGGAGATCCTGGACAGAGTGGGAGGAAATATGTGGAACAAAATTCAAAAACTGCAAAAAGGGCAAGGAGGCCACATGTTCTGACCTCCTCTAATCTCACAAGAGGAAGACAGGATTACCAGCAGTAACCCAAGGCCTATTCCTACAAGGCCAGACATGCTGCCTCCCTCCAGCCCTTTCACCAACCGTTCCTCCCAAAGCACCCACCACCTCTCTCCTGGGTTCGATAATTCGCTGCAGTGGCCACACAGAACTCATGGATTACAGGGTTTATTAGGGAAGCACCAGGCTACAACTCAGGTTCAGGAAGAACGCTCAGTCTCTCTCCCAGCCCAACGTCCCTCAGCCAAAAGTCTCTCACAGTCTCTTTCCCAGCAGTGCTGGTCCCTCGGTGTCTCACTCAGCAATGCGTTGTCTCTCGCGTCTCTTTCCCAGCAGCACGTGTCTCTTTCAGGGGCGCATGCCTCTTTCAGCAGCACGTCTTCCTCCACCAGCAGTCAGAGAGAGTTCTGCCTCCAGGAGGCCTCCTTTTGAGCCCTGAAGGGTGGTCAAACTAGCCAATCACAGCATCAGAACTCTAAGCACATGAGAGAGTGGAACCTCCCAGAACATTGTATTGTGCCACGCCCAACAGAAATAACCCAGGTAGATAGCTCCTCAGTTGCTCATAGAAAATCCCACCTTGGAGTTTACAAAGACTTATGGGTAGAAAAGCCACACTAAGTAATTTACTACACTGCAAAAACACAGTAACAACCAGAATCACTCATCAGATGGAGTCTGGTGGGACCCCCAAGACTATGGCCCTGGGATACACTTCAGGCCTGGGATAAAACTCACTCCCAAGGGCTGACTCTCAGCCCAACAGTAATAAGACTTCCATGCAAAACACCCAACCAGGGCGATGCACCCACCCACTCTACGGAGAGATACATCCCTTGGAGTAGTCGGCCATGGGGCACCAGAGGGGCAACATTCACATGGAGGAAAAGCTGGACAGACAGGAGTGCATAACTGAGAAGGGCACAGGGATGGGGGTGGTCAATGGGAAGGGAGAGGAGGAGAATGGTTAGGGTTGGGGATGGTAATTGGGGAGTGAAACCAAATGTACATGAACTATTGAATGTAAAAGAAATTCTGCTCTGTAAATTTGTATCCAAAGCACAATAAAAATAAATACATGAATTATTGAGGAGATATAAATGATGTCATGGTTTATAAAGGAAGTGTTTTAAACCAATGGAGAAAAGAGGCAGTGCCTTCTTCAGTGTACCTCAGAATCTTGCACACAGTTGATGATCAAACAAAAAATGTCTTTTCACTCAAATTGAAGTGGTTTCCATTGAGATGAGTTCTGAGGGATTGAATAGATAGTAGCAGGAAGGACATTCAAAATTCCTTTCTAATAGTTGGGGAGGAGCCTGGCCCCTCATCTTTTTACAATGTAAATTTATCATCACAGTATCTAGCAGATTGGTCAATTCAAAAGTGGAACTTCTAGAGTGCAGACTTGTGGAAAGGACATAACAGACTTCGGGGTGAAAGATTAAGCAGGGGAGTAACACCAAACCCACACTCCCTTGATCTTGCTCACAACAAGTGGTCCCATTTTCAGAAGTGCAGGGAAAATAGAGTGACATCAGGACAGGTTTCTACTTCATTTCTGGCATTCCTCCATCTAGGAGCTCTGGTAGTGTAATGCCTAAGGTACTTGTGGTAACCAGAAGGCTGGCGGTTCAAACCCACCAGCCACTCCTCGGAAGGAAAGTTGAGCAATCTACTTCCCTAGTGATACCTCCTCAGAAACCCGAGGAGGGGTCGCTATGAGTTGGGCCCGATGCGATGGCACATAACAACAACAACACAACAACAGAAACAACCAAATGAAAAGTCCAAATCGTTATCTTGTAGAAGCCTTTAAAAACCATAGGAATTTATTAAAATCCTTAAACTAGTGCTAGTCAAAGGGTGATCAGGGTGCCAGTCCCCATACTATTTGTCTCTGATCAGATGAGTCACATAAAAGAAATGAGAGGGTTTAGAAACTTTTACAGCAATTTGACATTGTTGTGACACCTAACATGGATCAGTTAGTTTGTTCTTTGTATGCCTTTGTTATTTTACTTTATATTTCTAGAAATCAATTTTTGTTAAATTTTACAAAAGTACTGACCTGTGGCAGATTGCAAATTAGAAGAAAAAAAAAAAAGAGAGAAGCAAGGATAACACTGAGAAG